ATACTTACAGTTCAATCTCATTTGCCATAAATTGAAAAAAAAAGATTTATTTATTTATTTATTTATTTGAAAAGCAGAGAAAAGAAAAGACAAAAATATCTTCCATCCACTGGTTCATTCCCCAAATGGCCACAATTGTCAGAGCTAAGCTGATCTGAAGCCAGGAGCCTGGAGCTTCTTCCAGGTTTCCTATGTGGGTGGAGTTCCCAGGGCTTTGGGCCATCCTTGACTGCTTTCCCAGGCCACAGGCAGGGAGCTGGATGGGAAGTGGGCAGCCAAGATATGAACTGGCATGTGTATGGGATCCTGGTACAGGAGCAGAGAATTAGCCAATCAAGCCATCACACCAACCCCTACCATAAACTGTTTGGAAGAACCCTTGCGTAAGCTTTCAAAAGAATATATATGGTTCATATGTTGTTTCATGGAGTATGTTCTGAGAAATGCCATGTGGCCTTTTCATTACATCAAGAGACACCACAGGGGACCAGACACAATGGCTCAATTTGTAAGTGCCGGAATCCCAGGTGGGCGCTGATTCATGTCCTAGATGCTCCACTTCCCATCCAGCTTCCTGCTTGTGACCTGGGATAGCAGTGGAGGAAGGCCCAAAGCCTTGGGACCCTGCACTGATCTGGCAGTCCCACAAGTTCCTGAGTCCTGGATTTGGATCAGCCCAGCTCTAGCTGTTGCAGCCACTTAGGCAGAGAGCCAGCAGATGGAAGAGCTTTCTGTCTCTCCTTCTCTCTGTAAATCTGCATTTCCAATTAAAACCAAAATACATCTTTGAAAAAGAGACACTGCAGAGGCCTCCGTGGGGCACAGTGGTTTAGGTTACTGCTTGTGACTCTGGCATCCTATATACACATTGGTTTGAATCCTGGTTGCTCCCCTTCTGATCCAGCTCCCTGCTCATGTGCCTGGGAAAGTGTCAGAAGCTGCCCTGAGGCCTTGGGTCCCTGCCAGTTCCCATGGAGACCTGACTGGAGTTCCAGGCTGACCCAGCTCCAGCTGCTATGGTCATTCAGGGGAGGGAACCAGGAGATGGAGTTCCCCCTGTGTCTCTCCCTTTTCCAACTTTGTCACTTAAATACATTTTTTCCCCAAACAACATGAGACACATGAAGCTACTGCTACCATAACGTGACACACTATTTGGCACTAACATTTTTATTTATAAACACAATCAGTATCCTAATGTTATGATCTGCGTGTGCTTTGCTATGTCTGAGGTTTGCTCTCACCAGAATCGCCAACACGTGACTAACGCCTGACGCTACAGGATCTCCAGGCAACGGGCTCCCTGCAGACCCACCGTGATCTTACGGGACCACCTTTGTACACAGGGTCTGATAGTGTCTGTAATGTGTCACGCAGCGTATGGCTATACTGTAAAGTTCTTTTTTTGTTAGAGATTTAGTTTATGCATTTGAATGCCCAGAGTTTCAGAGAGAAGAACAGAGATCATCCACTTGTTCATTTCACTCTGCAAATGGCCTCAAGGACCAGGTCTGGGCTAGGCCAAAGCCCGGAGCCCAGAGCATCTTCCACGTTTCCTATGTGGGTGCAGGGGCCTAAGCACTAGGCTTATTGTCTGCTGCTTCCTCAGGCACATTAATAAGAAGCAGGATCAGAAGCGGAGTAGTAGGGTCTGAAACCTATGCCCATATGAGATGCTGGTGTTCCAGGCGGTGGCTTAACTTGCCATGCCACACTGCCAGTCTCTAACATTTTCTCTGGTCACCAGTCTTCTCTCCGTCCTACAAGCACAGGTAACCTCTTGAGATCTTTTGGTGGCAAACGCATCCCAAGGTCAATGTGGCAAGTCTATATCCTCTTCAACCCACTTTAACACACAGCGGCATGCAGTACACTGTGTTATGTGCATTGTTTTTGAGGCCTTTACGACCCATGTTGTTGGTTGAATTACTAATGACGCAGCAGCTAACCAGATCTTTTGTGCCAACTGAATTTGTCACCATGTTGTGGTTCTAATACTGAACTTGATAACTTCTATGAAGGCCTGTTTTTTAAAATGAGCTTATCAAATCTTTTCATCATTACCTCACAGAGACACACCTCTCTGTGGGTTTACTCCACAAGTGCCCCAGTGGGTACTCCATCCGGGTCTCCCCATGTGGGTAGCAGGGAGCCAAGCATTCATTATAGGCATCACCTGTTGCCTCCCAGGGTGGGCATTAGCAGGAAGTTGAACCAGGCAGTGGAGCCAGGACTTGAACTCAGGCACTTTGACCCGGGATAAGGGAGTCTCATGCCCGACGCCAACCTCTCCTCATGCCACTTTAACGCAGGTGAACTAAGAGATTTCAGTGGTGCCTGCGGATGCAGGGGGCAGCACGCTGCGCTGGGTTCCAGTGCGCTCACAGGCAGGGACCTGCCGTGGGGTTACCCCATAAGTCCCTCAAGGACAGGAATGCATCTTTGGCAGCACTGTTGCCTTTCAACAGGATCTGGTCTATTTCTGGAAATCTTTGGGACCTGAGTCACAGCGGCTGTCCTTGCAGAAAACAATTTTGCAATCTTGGTGCCTCGTAAAACACTTTTTGAGTCTCATATTTATGACTTTGCTTTTCTGGAAGGAAGATGGTCATTACCCACTTGTGAGCACTGACTATGCATCAGTCATCGTTGCTAAACGCTTACCTCTCCTGGAAGCTACAGAAGCTGTGGGTCCTGGAATGATTTGGGGGATGAGGAAATGGGTTCAGGGGTGTTAAGGTATGCACCCAAGGTTGCACAGCCAGTGGTCTTAACTTCCCATGTCACCTGCTTCCGAGAAGCCACAAGAGAAGCTTAACCTCTGAGTCAGTGTCATACTGTATAATTACCAATATTTAGTTGGGATGACCGTGGCTGAGAAGGAAGTAACCACAGAACATTGCACATTGATAATGGTTACATTGTGACTAATCCTAAAATCCATCTGTAATTTGTACAGTGTTGCTTAAAATTCCAAACATCAACAAGGTCTGGGGAGGTTGGTGACACTGACCGATGGCTGCGCCAGGCCAGATGCCGCGGCAGCATCTGATGGGATAGGATTTCAGTGGCTCTTGGTTGGGGATCCTCACAATAGAACAGGGCATTCTGCTCTAGGCAGAAGTTTGGGATTCTTAAGCACCAGAACGTAGGGGCAGGAGTTTCGTGCAGTCGTTAGCATGCCACTGGCATGCATCCCACACAGCCGTGCCCCGGTTTTAGTCCCAGCTCTTCTGACTGCAACTTCCTGGTAAATGCAGCCCTTAGGAAGCAGGGGACGGCAGAGTGACTGGTGTCTTGTCACCCCCTGGGGGAGACCCAGACTGGGGTTTCTGGCTCCTGATCTTGGGCTGGCCTGTCCCTGGCTATTCTGGACGTAGAGATCTTTCCAGTCTTTCAAATAAAACAAAACCCCCAGAAAGTGAGTGCGCAGCATTAGATGTTCACAGGTACCTTCTACATTCATTAATTCAACCCCTATTCGAGATACTGGGGATGAAGTAGGGGAACAAAGTTGTAAATATCATTCTAGCAAGGGCCTGGCACAGTAGCCTAGCAGCTAAAGTCCTTTCCTTACACAGGCTGAGATCCCATATGGGTGCTGGTTCTAATCCTGGCAGCCCCACTTCCCATCCAGCTCCCTGCCTGTGGCCTGGGAAAGCAGTCAAGGATGGCCCAAAGCCTTGGGACCCTGCACCCAACATGTGGGAGACCCAGAAGCTCCAGGCTCCTGGCGTCAGATGGGCTCAGCTCCAGCCAGTTGCAGTCACTTGGGGAGTGAGTCATCGGATGGAAGATCTTTCTCTCTGTAAATCTGACTTTAAATAGATAAAATCTTAAAAAAAAAAATAACAGACCATGAGGACTGGGCAAGCATCAGGTCAGGAGGTGAAGGCGTCTTGGGGAGTCATGTGACGCAGGAGGGGAAAGCCCTTGGGATGAGTGTGCAGTTTTAAACTCCGCACGGTGTGGACAGGTCACTGGCCTCTGGCACCGGCTGTGTGCCCAGGACTGGCCTCACACCCTGCAGGTGCTGCCTCGGGCACACTCAGTGCAGAGGTGGGGCCTCGCCTTATCCCTCTCAAGACCACCATTCCCAATCCCATAAATCCAAAAGTCACCATCCTGCGATGATGCGTTCCCAAACGGGCAGCGAGAATTGAGCACCGTCCTTGCCTTGTGGCAATCTACCAGTTTTTAAAGCGTATTTGGGGGGAAAAAAAACCACCACCACAAAACAGGTTTAAAACAAACTCCCCTAAGTGCGAGGTTCACGGGTTCATGGCCACGGCTTGGATTGGACAAAGCCGGTGAAACAGCCGCCCCGGGAAGTTGCTCCGTGTGCTCCAGGAGCCGCGACGGCCTCCGGGCAGGCTTGGCCAGGAATATGGGGCGATGATGATGAAGCAATGAAATCACGGCCACCTTTCCTTGTGAAGTCAAAATCATCAAAAACCCTGTAACACGCAACGTCACCTACGGGGCAGGCCTCCCTTTTGCCCCCACCCCCGCTGCGGCCTCAGCCGGCGGTCAACACCGAATCACCTCGCCCTCGGGCCGGCTGGAGACGGACCCCGGTGCCCGGCTCCCCAGGCCTCCGCCCGGGGCCTGGTCTCTACGCTAGGCGCCGGGCGGGGCCTCCCTCTCTTTCGCATGGCCTGCTGGGAGTTGTAGTTCCACTTGGCCGAACTCTCGGGACCTCGCCCCTCCTCTGCTCCGCTTCCTCCTCCTAAGCCGACATGGGCCCCGCCGGCCAGAACCCTGAGTACTTGGGACTACAAATCCCAACGGGCCGCAGAACCCTGTTTGCAGCCACAGGTAACCGGCGGCGCGCACGCGCACACGCCCCGCGCTGCCCCAGGCCTCGGCCGCGTGCGCTTTCCCGCCGCGATCGGGCGAGCGCTTGCCACGCCTCGTGCCGCCGTCGGGCCTCGTCGAGTCGGCGGCGTGCGTTCGGCGCCTTGGCGGCTCCCGCGTCCCTCCCCTCGCCTGAGTTTCTTCTTGAGCTCAGGCTCCGCCCGTTTCCCGCCTCCAGGGCTTGGTTCGTGTCCGCCCCAGCCCGCCCCTCTTCTTGGCGCCCCTGCTGCTTGCGCTGAAGGCGGTGGCTCCATGTTGTCCCCTCAGCGAGCGGTAGCGGCTGCTTCGAGAGGAGCAGGTGAGGCGCCCGACTCCCCTGCGGGACTCGCTGCCATCCCGGCCGTGGCTCCTCGGACCCCGCCCGCGCCGTCCTTCCTCGGCCAGGGCTTGGGCCCCAACGCGCGCCCCTCGCCCACTTCTGGGGGTCCAGGACCTCTCGCGGGGATCGGGATGGCGCGGGCGGCGCCTGGTTCTGCCTGGCCGCCCTCGGGGCTCGGGCCGGTCCCCGGGCAGGCCGCTTGGCTCCCCTGGGCGCCCCCCGGGTTGCCTCGAGGGCCGGTGGCCCCGGGCGGGGGGTTGCTGTCCGCCGTCGTCCGGCCCCGGTGCGTCCGGCCTTGGGCTGGCCGCCTGCTCCCTTGGGGTCCTTGGGGGTGCCGAGCGGCTCTGGGCGGCGTTAACGGGGCCGGGCTGGAGGCTTGCGTCCGAGGCGGGGGCTTCCTTAGGACTGCAGTTTTCTCCAAAGACGGCTTTCAGCCCCGGTAGATCGCCTAGCTAACCCCCCCGCTCCCGAGGAGATTAGGTTGGTTTTGGAGAAAGTTGGTAGCACTTAGCACGCTTTCCTGAAGTCAGAAAGCAGTCAAAGAAAAAAACGGATTTAATGCTTTTGCCTTCAATAAAAGTCGGCGCGGGCTCATGGAGACAGTTCCGCCTGTCATTTCTGTCTGACTTTGTTCTTGTTCAAAGTGTGCCCTGGTGAAGCAGTCTGAAAGGGGGGTGGAAGGGAGGGAAAGAGCCGTATTTGCAGAAATCCTTTAGTGCCGTGAAGAGCTTGGCCGGAATGGGAGCCGGAAGTAGTGCAGTGAAAGGTGACGCATGGCCCATTAGTTTTACTTTCATAGTCGCCAATGTCAGAAGCAAAACCTACTGCATTCTGTCAGGTTTTCAACATTGCAAGCCAGGTGCCCTTCCTTCCCGGGCTCCCACACAGACTGGTTTGTAGTCTAGAAGTTCCTGTTGCTGCGTTCACACCTGGAGTGGTTAGGACTGCGTGCCTGAGCGGTCCCTGCTCCCACACACTGTCTAGCTGCTCCGTGTGGTCTCGCTGTAGCTCCTAACTCCGTGAAGTTAAGGAAGGTAGTGACCGGGGCTGCGTGATGTGTCCTTTTCTTAGTTTTTGGGACTTACTAAAATATACTTTTTAAAAAAGATTTATTTATTTCTATTGGAAAATCAGACTTAGAGAGAGGAGAGACAGAGATCTTCCATCCGTTGATTCACTCCTGAGGTGGCCACAGTGGCCAGAGCCCGAGCTGAGCCGATCTGAAGCTGGGAGCCAGGAGCATCCTCACAGTCTCCCACGCTGGTGCGGGGTCCTCTACTGCATTCCCAGGCCACAAGCAGGGAGCTAGAAGGGAAGTAGAGCAGCCGGGACACGAACCAGTGCCAACATGGGACCCTGGAGCTTCACTGTAGAGCATCAGTGAGGCTGTTACACCATGCTCAGCACTCATTGTTTAAAGTAACAGAATTGAAGGCACAGAAAAAATAATAAATGCGCCCCCCTCCCTATCTCCCAAAGGTGGTCACTGATGGCTCATACTCTGCGTGATGTCTATAGAGTTCCTCGGGGACCCTAGATGTGTGTGAACTTGAGAACTGCTTTCGCACCTGTCTGTTCAAAGGTCTCTGGACTTGTGTTTCGTAGTAAGTGTTCAAGCAACACAACTACATTTAGCTTTTACATGTTTTTTATTTGCTTGAAAGTTTCAGAGAGAGAGGGAGAGACATGTATCTTCTATCTGCTGGTTTCACGCTACATGGTTGCGATGGCAAGGACTGTTCCAGGTTGAAGCCAGGAGCCTTTTCTGGGTTGCCTGCTCAGGGTCAGGGGCCCAAGCACTTGGGCCATCTGCCGCTTTCCAGGCGCATTATCCGGGAGCTGGATTTTAGGTGGCATCTGGGACTTGTACTGGAGTTTTTGTGGGATGCTGGCGTTGCAGGTGGTGGCTTAATGTGCTATGCCACAGCGTCAGCCCCACACTTCATTTTGGGGAGACCCAGATGAAGCTTCTGGCTTCTGTCTGTGCAGCCCTGGAAATTGTATCCACTTGGGGGTATGAACCTGTGGATGGTTCGTTCTTGTTTCTTTGTAATTGTTAAGTTTCCAATTACTTTGAAAAGCTGTGAATGGTAAAATATTTTACCGAGTTCTCTGAGACTGTAGGGGCATGTTATCTAAAGAGTACCAGGAGGAAAAAGTTGAGGCACAAGCTTTTATTTAAAAGAAAGTGATTTTCTCCTGGCAGCTGTGCTTCTCAGCTCTGCTGCACAATTACTCAGAAACATTTATTCTAGGTTAAAAGAAAATTTCATGTTTTTTTTTGAAAGGCTGGGAGACAGGACAGTTCAAAAGAGACATTCTGTCTGCTGGTCAGCTTCCCAGGTGTGTTCGGCAGCCCTGGCTCTGCCTGGCCCGAGCCCGCAGCCGGGAACTCCAACCCCGCACCTCGTACCAGCCACCTACCCCCAGCCTGGCCAGGGAGGGCTCTACTCGCAGCAAGTCACACGAGTCCCCTGTAATTGCATTTTGTACACTCATGCAATCATGTGTAATACACACATGCACACACACAGTTATAAAATCAGCTCTTCAGCCATCTTTTGCTGCCTTCCCAGGCACAAGAGCAGGGCACTGGATTGGAAGCGGAGCCATCGGGATTTGAACCAGCACACTGATAGGGTTTGCCGCTGTTGCAAATGACAGCTTAACTTACTTTGCTGTGGCAGTGGTCCCCACTATGGAGTGTTTCTGTTGGGAAATTGAAGCCCTTTTGAGTACATTTCGAAACAAAAGCCTTTGATTTGCATGCGTGTTGAGTATTGGAACATGTGAAGTCCGTGTCATGGCTGAGGCGTGTTGCTAGTGTGGGTGTGCACCAAAGGAGTGGGGGAGGAAGTGTAGGGCCCGACATGATAAGGCCACAGATTAGTAGCTCGGAAACAGCTGATGAGAGCCAGGTATTGAATTGATTTTGTGGGTCTCGCATTTTCAGAAAGAGGTAAATGAAATCACTATTGAACTTTTTTTTTTTTTTTTAAAGATTTATTTATTTCCCTTTAAGAGGGGGTGAGGAAAAGATCTTCCATCTGCTGATGATTCTCCAAATGGCTGCAGTGGCCGATGGCTGCAGTGGCCGATGGCTGCAACGGCTGAGCTGGCCAGTTTGAAGCTGGAAGCCAGGAGATCCTTCTGGGTCTTCCATGTAGGGGCCCAAGGCCATGGGCCAGCTTGTGCTTCCCCAGGCCGTTAGCAAGGAGCTGGCTTGAGAGTAGAGCAGCTGGGACTCTTAACTGGTACCCATACAGGACACTGGCACTGTAGGCGGAGGAATAGCTTGCTGTGTCACCAAGCTAGCCCCTGAACTCACTTTTTAAAGTTTTATTTTATTATTTTTTTTATTGGAAAGGCAGATTTTCAGAGAAAAAGATCTGCTGTCTGCTGATTCACTCACCAAGTAGTCTCAATGGCTGGAGTTGAACTGAGCTGATCTGAAGCCAGGAGCCAGGAGTTTCTTCTGGGTCTCCCACATGCTGGGCCTCCCACCTGGCTCCTGGCTTTGGATCCATGCAGCTCTGGCCTTTGTGACTGCTTGGGGTGTGAGTCAGTGGGTGGAGGATCTTTCTCTCTGTACATCTGACCAATAAAAATAAATAAATCTTTTTAATGAAAGTGCTCTGTTGGGCATTCAGAGCTGAGGCACAAGCTTTGCTACCGAAGCAGCTTCCTCCTAAAGCCTTGGATGAAGTGGAACAGAATTGCTGCCAATGTTCTGCTTGTTCTGAGGAGTGGTCTTCCTGCAGCCTTAAGCTGTGTGTGTGTTCCTCTGTGCCGAGTCCCTTCAGTTCTCGAGCCCCGGCCCAGCCTGTTGAGCTGGGGGCTTGGAGCTCGCGGAGCCGTGATGTTTCTCCTCTTGCTCTACGTTTGGCTATGCTTTTCTTGGCCGCTGGAAAGTTGGAAACCCAGGTCATAGTTCCCGGGTGAGTCAGCTGTGCTGTCTGCCAGGCAGAGCGCTTTTGTTCGCTTGGTTCAGAACTCCATGAGGATGAGCCCTGAGCCTGGGCGTGCCCTGAGCCGGGCGTGTCCTGAGCCTGGGCGAGCCCTGGTGGGGCTTTCCCCTGGGTGATATTCCTCCCTTCCTTTCTTTCTCCCCCACACCTTACTTTTACTAAAGGCTAGCGGCAGTTTGGGGGGGTCATAGCCTCAGCCCAGCATCGCTGTGGTTAGTGAGTGGAGGCCTTGAATGCTGCTCACTCTAAGGGCAGGCGCACCTCTGCCTTCCCCGACTTCAGCAGAGAGCTGGAGAAACGCTGGCCGAGGCTGCCAGGGTAACCAGCTCAGCTCTGTGGGACTGTCTCGAAATAATAGTAGGAACTACTTCCGAGTAGCTGGTTTCATCGAATCTGTCGCTGTGCCGATCTTTTCAAAGTTTTTGAGGGACATTTACGTTTTTCTTTTTCTTTTTCTTTTTTAACAAATGGCACTTTTTAGGATTGATTGATTGATTGAGAAGGTGGAGTAACAGGTCAGTGCTCCATTTAATGATTTCCTCCCCAAATGGCCACAGTGACCAAGGCTGGGCCAGGCGGAAGCTGTGAGCCTGGAGCTCCGGTGCGGTCTCCCGTGTCGCGTGGAGGAGGCGTGAGTGCGTGGACTGCCTCCCGCTGGTTTTCCTGGGCGCACTCATCAGGGAGCTGGCTGAGTGGGGCAGCTGGGACTTGAAGTGGAGCTGCGGGGATCACAGGCTGCAGTGGAGTTGGGATCTCATGTGGGCGGCAGGAACTCGGCCGCTTGAGGCGTCACGGAATTGCCTCGCAGGATCTGCGTTAGTGGGAAGTCAGGGGTCTGGAGCCGGAGCTGGCCACTCGGGCCTTCCCTGATGCGGGCTGGGATTGTCCCGCGTCCTGGGCCAAATGCCTGTTCTTCCTTTCTCTCTCTCTCTCTCTCTCTCTCTCTCTCTCTATATATATATATATATATATATATTTTTTTTTTTACAGTAGAGCTTATGTCTTGATTTT